TTGTACTATATCAAAAAATTAAGCTAATAAAAACCAACTGGCATTGTCGCCAAAGTTCAAAAAAAAAAAAAAAAAAAAAAAAAAAAACTGGTTTAGTAGATATAGGATATACTAAATTGGATCTAAGTGGTAATCTTGATACCAGCTTAGTAAGCTTGCATCAAGAGTAAATTCAAAGGAATATGGATATTTAATAACATTTATTAAAGTAATACATTGATATAAATAGTAACTAAGATAGCTCTAACCTGATATGTCATTTAATAGTAATATAAGCATTATATATATATGCAATATATGTTGAAAATCAGAAAGTTTAAATAAAGAACTCTCAAATAGGTCTCAGGTATAGCATCTAGTGAGTAACCTATAAGTGAAATCCTTAATTAGATAATAACTAAAGTTATATATATAACTAGTTGTACTTTTATTGATAAATTATTGTATATAAAAACATATAATTATATGTTACTTAATAAAAGACATACAGATAAGATTGCTACTTTAAAAAAAAAAAAAACAAATCTTCTAATATTTTAAAAAGACTAAACTATGTTAATGAATAAAATATTTTGTATAGCTATTAAATACAGCATATAGCTTATATAAAAAATATATAAACAAAACAATAACTTTTTGTTTATATTCAAATACTATTAAAAAAAATTAGAATTCAAAAATTTGATAAAAATAATTTGCATATGACTTATATAAAAATGTATAAAATAATAAATAAATAATAACTATTTGTTTGTATTTAATTATTATTAAAGAAAAACTAAAATACATGTTTTGGAATTTATAATTAAATATACTTAGTCTTGAAATTTAAAAATTATTTATCTATATATTAATATTATTTATATAAATAAATATAAAAGTTTTAATTTAAATTTTAAATAAATTTATATTATTAAATTGTTATTTTTTTCTTTTTAACATTTTATTAAGTACCATATATATATAAGTAATTTATTAATATTATTATAATTAAAAATTATTTTTTGATGCTTTTTAACTAATTTTAAATCTTAATTATTTATCTATAATAGTAAAATTTGATTGTCAATAATAATCATTATATATATATCAAATATTTTTAATATAATTATATATGTGTTGTATGTAAATATAGGATTAGAACTGTTAATATTTAAAAAATATATATATATAGAATTAGAGCTATAGCTAGTAGTAGAATTATTAAATTATGGTATTATAGCATTTTATAAGATAGTAGAATTAAATATGACACAGTACTTAAATGTTATAAATATTATCTGTCATATAGCTATATTGCTAAAATGTTATAAGAAATAATTTTTGAATGTGTGCCAGATTTGTAATACAACAAAAATTCTTAATTACTATATATAACTATAATAATAGTAATTAAATCACTAGTCAAAAAATTTCACTACTTAATCAGATTTCAAGATTTTGTGAAACACAAAAATTGTGAAACAATTTTTTCAATTTTAATTGACTAACAGATATGGATCTGCAAAATTTTAACTTACATTATATAACTGTTTACTAATTTCTAAACAAAATTAAGTTTTTTAATTTTTTTATTCTCAAAATAGAAATTTTTAAAGAAATAAACTTACAAAATAATAAAATTAACCTAGAAACAATTTTTATTTAATGAGCAACTATGATTTTATTAGTAAAATTTTAAGTAATTTTAGCCAAATTTTTTTATTATTGATAAAATAAGAATTTGTATATGTTAAATAAAAATTGGACCTTTCTAATCAAATACTTAAATAGGAGTATCTCAAGTATTTTATCTATATATAAATGATATATAAAATTTAATGCTAAACACTTTTAATTAGAAGTCAGAAATTGGTTAATATAATAAAATTGATTCTATTTAAGAATTTTTATTTTTTGTTGTTTTTGTTATTTTTTGTTATACAAGATCTTATGATTTTATTGACATCTAACTAGAAATTTTAAGGTCAAAGTTTGATTTTTACTTGATATAAAGGTACCTGAATCTGCTAGAACAATTTTGTTGTATTATGTTTTTACCAGTTTTACCAGAGTTTGCTAGTTTTACCAAGTTTTATCAATTTTATCAGTTTCACTATTTTGGTTTTTTTATTTTACAATGCAATATTACAATAATGTGATTTTTTAAATTATTTGAGTAGCTTAAAGGAGTTTCTAAGTCTTTTTGTAAAAAATAATTAGAGTAAAGTTTTTTTAATATACTGGTAATTATACATAATATAACAAAAAAAAATTTAGTTGAATCATATTATTTTATGCAATTCTGAATATATTTGTTAAATTTTTTTTTTATTTACGAATACTATTTTTATTAAATATCAAAATTTTAATAGTTGTTATTATTACTAATGTGAAGATAATTGTGAATTTATTACAAATTATGTGTTGTAATATTTTTGATTATTTTTAACAAAGATCAGATTGCATAAATTGTACTACATAAATATATATAAAAATATAAGTTTCATTATTGATTTTGCATCTTATATAATATTAGAATTGCTTACAAATAAAAAAAAAGCATATAACTTCTATCAAATGAGTCCAAATATTAATTTTTTTTCAAAAAAAATATATTACAAGAACAATAAGTCAGACTCATCATATTAATTTTTTTGTAGTCTTATAAATTAGAAAAAAGTAGTTAACAAACTATACACTTGAAGATTTAAAAAAAATTGATCATTTAATTTCATTGAATAAACCAACTCAAAGAAAAATAGTAAATTTAATTATCTCTTGTTGCTGTTTTACTATCATTGAAATAAAAACCCACCTTAAAATAAATAAAGATATTAAAATTTTAGTATCTACTATTTGGCAGATACTTTAAAACTATGGTTTAATGTCAAGAATAAAAAAAATCCTATTTAAATAATAGTTATTAAAAAAATATAGTTTACTTTTATAAAAAAATATGAAAAATGAATTGTTGAAAATTAGTTCAAGGTAATTTGATTAGATGAATTAAGTTTTCAAAATTTTGGATTAGATACTAAGTAGTACTATTAAAAGCATCATGGAGAATTGTTAAATCAGTTCTATATTAAGCTTATTATAAAATATAATAATAGATCAATTATGACTTAAGGTTGCTTTACCTCTCATAATGTTAACAACTATTATAAGATCAATGGTATGATGAATACAGATCTGTACCTAAAATTACTTTGTGAAGATTTAATGTAATTGATTAAGAATTATAAATTTTAAATTAGTAAAGTTGTTTTTCAACAAGATAAAACATCTTGTCATATAGCAATCTTGACTAAATGCTGACTTATAAAGAAGAAGATAAAGTTTTTCAACTAGTCTCCTCAATTAGCCAATCTAAACCTAATTGAATACTTGTAAGATAAAGTTGATCATCACCTTAGAAACCTTCTTAGTCAAATTTCAAGTGAAAAAAACCTTTGAGAAAAAATTCAGATGGTTTGGTAAGCAATTGATGTTGAAACCTGTATGAAATTAATTCATTTAATGCCAGAATGAATCTGTGATGTAATTAAAATCTGAGACAACTACACCAGATGATAATAGCTAAAAATTATTAGAAAAAAAAATTTATTATGTAAAAAAAAATTTTTTTATTTTACAATCATGTTACTGTTAAAACAACCAAAAATAATGCAACACATATATTGAAATAAAGCTCATGCCTCCAAAAAATTTTAATCACTAAATTTTTAAATCTTTTTTATTAATGATAATATTACTATTTGTGAATAAAATAAAAAAAAATTTAACAAATACGCTCGGAATTGCGTGAGATAATACGATCCGACTAAATTTTTTTTTTTGTTGCATTATTTATGATCGCCAGTGTATAAGGAACGCATTCAAATTTTACTTACCCTCAAATTCCATAAAATTCTTAATGCATGCACCAATTCATAATGTTCATCCCAATTAATTGGCAAATAAAATGTACCAATTAAAAAACATTCTATAAACTTTTGAAACGGGCAGATCCATTCCCCACACCTGCCTTATAGAATTAAAATACCGAGTTTATCTATCAACTTACCATGTATGTGAAAGAACCATGTACGTAACTTTCTCAAAATTTTATAATCTCCGCGATTGTATTTTTTCACAATATCATTTAGACTATCACGACACCCCCAACAACCTTTAACATGGTTTTTTACATATCGAGGCATGTCCGAAGTCAAATAACCACCTGATAACTCAACCATTCCAATTTCAAGTCCTTTATTTCCTGGGGTATGAAATATACCGTCCACCTTCATACCTAAAGGTTTGTCGTCTTCGGATTTTAAATTACGCCTCAATAATCTTTGATTGGCATTTGCTTTTAGATAAACTTCACCACTATTTTATTTGTTTGAAAAAAAGAGGTTTTAATGCTTGAAATGTAATCAAATACATTTCTTTATTAACATACGCAATATATGTAATACGGTCGGTTGTATTCACAGGTACTGTAATATTGGGTGAATCATTATGTTCATAAAAGTGCCTCGTTTTTGTGTATACATGTAAAGCAAATGCGGTATTAAATACATTATTGGCGCTTCAAAATTAATCAACAAATATTAAATAAATAAAATATCTGAGATTAATTCCAATGAATTATTATTGGAATACTTACAACCACCAAAGAACATCTGTAACAAATTCCTTTTCTGCATCAATGTCATTTTTATATTTTGCTTCACGAATGACTTTCTTATATTCGGTTAAAGAGCCCTATCATTAAAAATTGGTAATAAAAATTGGTAATAAAAATTTTATTAAAAAAAATCACAATATCGAGTTACACTCACAGTATCTAAAAGTAAAGTTAGTAATTCTTCTGTGTTAGACGACAATTTAAAGTGTGGGAATTCGACACTTGAAGTCAAATAGTTCCAATCTTTATCCTCTATCCATTCGGGCTTACGAACTTTGGCACCAATACGTATTATTCCAAAATGCGACGGACTAAAGTATAAACAATAACGATTGTATATATGAAATTGGAAGGTGAGATAAAAGAAAATCTAAATCTACAACTTACTGCGATTTGTGAAGATTCTTTTGTCCATAGATTATGCTTCTTACTGATTTTCCTAAAGGTAAGAGCCAATCATCTTTCGGACTATCTACATTCGGATATTTTTGTATGGAAGACTCACTACCAGATTCTACCTCATTGATATCTGATTCTTCATCACTTAGCGGATAAAAATCTGAAATTTCATTTTCTCCAATATTTATATCATTACTAAGCTCCAAATCTTTCAACTCCGTTGATTTTATATTGTTATTTGAATCTCCATTTTAATACCAAATTTTCTTTATCGGCATCCCACTTTCTTTTTAAATTTTTTGGTTGGATATATACAATTGGTACTTCCTTTTTCTGTAAATACATTTGATGTTATCACTTTCTTTTGTTAACAAAATTACATATAAATAATCGTGTACTACCTCCGTATTAATATTTATCACACCGTCTTCAGTTCCCTTCGTAATATTGTATGCAAACTTTATCTATATTTAAAACTATCGTTAGACAAAAGTATGTGATCGTGTGGTGTTATTAACTTGAAGTTAATAACTATTCTTACATCTTTACAATCATTATTGTTGACTTGTGTCGCAGAATCAGTTGCAAGCCGTTCTATCTAATTGATGAAATACTATTCAATATTTTTGTCTTATAAAATTTCAGAATAGGAACTCACCTGTAAATGTCCAATTTTCACACATGTATTATGTGAATCTAGATCTGAATCTGAACTCTTTGGTGAAGACCAATTCTTTGCAAATAAGGTTCGGAATTAGTAATAAGAAATTTCACAATAGCGAAAACTTCCAGATATAAAAATAACAGCTTGCGCGAAATGTCGAACTAAAAGTTCATCACTGTAGACAAAGAGTCCAGCTTGCACTTAGCGTCGAACAAAGAGTTCATGACTGTTCGAAGGCTAAATTCCTTTCAGACAAGGAGTCCCAGCTTGCACTAAGTGTCGAACAAAGAGTTCATCACTGGCGACAAAGAGTCCCAGCTTGCACGAAGCGTCGAACAAAGAGTTCATGGCTGTTTCAGAATAAGCCCCTTAACTATCCCGATAATACATTACCTTCCAATTATCAAGAATTTCTTGTGCTTTATTTTTACGCAATATATCGAAATCAACATCAAAATTTAATATTTTTCAGAGATCTTTTTTTATGTAATCAAGTACTTTCTTCCTTTCTTTTTCCCCGTTTTTTCTTGATAATAATTCGTAATATTAGCACAAGTCCAGTCCTCAATCGCTGTGACATGATAGAAAGCCTGAGAATGGATGTTGATTGCGTGGACATTATTTTTTTTCGTCTAAGTTAATGTTTATGTTTATTGTATATGCAAGAAAATTTTTGAAACAATAAAAACGTTTATTTTTACCAGGAACGGAGTGATGAAATCACGAACTAGATGGTTTATATGAACAACAAGTGGTATCCGTCGCCAAAATCTTAAGTTTGATTGGTCCGCATGATTTATTCATCAAATTTTGGTTATTTTTCACATATTAATTCATCACGCATTATTTTTCACACATGAATTCATCGGATATGCACGTGCATTGGGATATGCAAACACAGAGCATAATTTGAATACAAACGTAAGCGATGTCGTAGTTCGATAAATAACGATAGTTAAAAAGGAATTTTAAATGCAAAAATTAGTAACCCGGTGCAAATTAATTTGCATATTTACCTGATATTTGGCATTTTTGTTTTTTTTCCGTAGGATTTTTCATTGGGTTGATTAAATGATAATCACTGATCGTCGAAGACAATTTATTATATGATGCCTTGTAAACTTTTATAATGTTTATCAAATGCTTCGTGATATATTAATGGGATTCTAGATCAGTTCTCGTTTGTACATTACTTGGACTATTTGCTAACTACTATATTTGTTTTCATTCTCGGTTTCTAGCATGACTGCGTCACGCAGCCACCTTATTAGAATTATATGTTCTGCGAGCACAAGGTAGGCATTAAACTCAGTATTATTTTCTTCATTCCATAATGTTATCATTGTTTGAAGTTTTTTTTAAAAAAAAATTTTTAGAATTTTATTTGAAAGAATTTTTAGATATTGATATGATCAGGGAATGGAAAAAATAAATATAGAATCCGAAGAAAACTCAAATTGTGATAAATAAAAATAAATATTTTAAAGAAAAAAAAATTCATATAAAATTTATTTTAAAAGTCAGATGGTTATAATTATTTTAGATTTTTAAAGTTATTGTATAAGAAATAAGAAATTACCTTTGTATAGTTTTATATAAATTTTTAAATAAAGCTTATTTCATTGGTTTTGTTTGTATAATCATAAACTTGAAATTCATTACAGAAAAAATATGCCTAATTCAAAGTGAATTTCTCTTATTTGTGATCAATTACAAATTAATTATAATGGATATAATCCCTTACCAGTTTTAATATATATGTAGCATTGCTATTAAAATTTACTAGTTTTATATTTAATGTCATATAAATTAATTTCAATAATTTAATTTAAATAAATTCATTTATAGCTTATAACAAATCATTATTATTGGCTATAAAGACAAGACATTTAAATAGATCAATTAATATTCTTATCTTTAAAACTAGTAAATTGAATTATTAGCACATATGTAAAATATTATTATAATATCATTAAAAAATTAAAAGTAGTAAAATCTAAAAAAATTAGAAAGTAAAAATTTTATTCAATTAATTTTAATATATAGTATAAGTAAACCATTTATAATAAATTTTTTATAATTTTGCAAATAAAATAAATAAAGAATTAATTGGCTTAGAAAGATTTTTAAAGTTGAGCAGTTTATTTGTAAGTTTATCTTTAGAACAAATTAACAATTCTGTTAATAATGTTGGAATAATTGTATTTGCAAACCAAAATGCTTTATATATTGCTAATTTATCTTTATTTTCTATATTACTATTATCTAATATTTTATGCTGTATTAATAATTTTTTATAGATATTAGATGCAGTTAGTTTATGATTTACTAATTGGATATAGCATTCAGGAGTGCCTTCAGCAAATTCAGGATATGATCTATAATATATTTTTATAGCTAATGTTTTATTATACTTACTATTATAATATAAAGGTCTTTCTGTAAACAATTAGATATAATAATACCAAAACTATAAATATTAGCTACTATTATATATAGTTGTTTATTTAACACTTCTGGTGCAATATAAAGTAAAATGCTATAAACCCTATTTTTCAAATTATAATTATTTTTTTTTCTAAATAATTCTAAATCAGTAATATAAAATATCAAATATATTAATTTTATAATATATTACTATTATAAAAATCTTTATAAACATATTTTAATTTGTATA